AGCCTATAAATCCTCAGGGAGTGGCAGGGGCCACTGAGTTACATTAATTTCTTTAGGAAAAAGTTTAGTGCCACTGTTTATCCAAAATTGAAAGTTAGTCTTCATTGTTTTAATTACAAAAGCCTGACGCAGGAACGGAGAGGCTGAGCCAGAAAGATCTCAGATCCTGAGTTGGAGCTATATTGGGAGACCTTGTCTCAAACTCTTATGTCCCCAAGCCTCCCCAGTTCCAGGATTATAAGCATGTGCTACCAGATGCAGCTTTATCATAATTTTTTCAATTCTCCCTTCATAGTCAGATTTCTACCTATGCCAGTTAACTTTTCTCATATTTGAAGTTTCAGGTAATCCCAATATAGCTTTTTTAGCCACTCATCAGAATTACTGGGGTCACCAGTGTCTACTATGTTACCAAATCTAGTATTGATACTCTGTTCTCATTTTCCTCAGTCTCCAGACTGTTGAATAGTTTACACCTTGAAGTGCTCCTCTCTTGGCTGTTGCTAATACTTTGCTCCTGGATTTTCTCCACTGAGTTGGCTGTTCTTTTTTCATCTTTTAAAAAATTTACTTAAAAAAATTTTTTTTTTTAATTTATGTGTATGAGTGCTTTGCCTCCATGGATAAGTGCCTGTGGAGTCCAGAAGAGAGGGTTAGATCCCCTGGAACTGGAGTTACAGGCAGTTAAGTTCCCATGTGGGAGTTTGTAACCATACCCTGGTCCTTCTAGTGCAGCAAACGCTTGTAGCCATGGAGCTTCTTTGCTTTACATTTTTAGCCTCTTTTCATTACATTTTTATCTGTTCATTTTGCATACATATGGGGCAGGGCTACACTTGTGTGTGCAAGTCAGAGGTCAACTTTTGGGAGTTAGTTCTCTCCTTCCATTATGTGGGCCTGGGGGTTGAACTTGGGTCCTCAGACTTGGTGGTGGGGACCTTTACCCACTGAGCCTTCTCACTGGCCCTTATTATTATTAGCCAATCTTTTGTTACCATTCTTGTTTTGTTTTACTTTTTGTTTTTTTCTCAATCTGGATTAATTCATTCTTCCTTAGGCAATCCAATTGTCCTCCACTCCCCAGAGGTTAAAGTTAAAGATAGTATAACCATATTGATGTTGAACTTAGTACAGATACCGAATCAACATAGTCTACTACAGCCCAGAACTGTATTCAAGCAATCCTCCTTCCTTAGCCTCACAAGTAGCTGGGACTATAGACATGTTTGTTTATTTGAGTCAGGGTCTTGCTTTATAGCTTAGGCTGGCCCTGACTTTTGATCCTCCTGCCTCAGCCTCATTACTTCAGTCTCCTTCACCAAATACTTTCTCCTCTCTACCTCATGTCTAAATGTTGGGTTTCTCTTGGGGCTTTATTTACTATTTGAAAGCTGGCAACTCCAAGTTCAGATCCTCTCTCTTTGCCCCAGAATCAAGTGTGAGAATGCCTGTTTAATTATAGCTAATTTGGATATCTTTTAGTCACCCCAAAGTGGACATAACCAAAAGAAAATTGTGGACTCCCATCACTGCAGACCTGATATTCCCCATCTCACTAAGTGGAACTCCCATCACTGCAGACCTGATATTCCCCATCTCACTAAGTGGAACTCCCATCACTGCAGACCTGATATTCCCCATCTCACTAAGTGGAACTCCCATCACTGCAGACCTGATATTCCCCATCTCACTAAGTGGAACTCCCATCTACATGGTTACCAAAACCAGAGCTCTGAGAATAATCTTTTAATTATTCTCCCTTACTACCGCTCTTCCCCAGCCTCTCAGTAAGTCATGTAGCTTTTACCTCCGGAATATCTTCTCCATCTTCACCATTCTAGGCCACCATTATCTTTTACCTGAGCTATGAAAACAGTTACCTCAATTTTCCATTTTCCCTCAGATTCCCCTCCAGTCCATTTTCTATGAATCAGGAACCTGTCAAATTGTAGCTTGTTATTTTCCAGTGTCTTTCCATAGTCTTCATGGTATAAGTAAGCTCTTCCTCATATTCTACCGCATTCACTATGCCTGGTCACATAGGCTTTAACATTACCTACCACATACTAAGCTTTTGCTCACTTTTTCTACTGGCTCCTGTTCCCCATTTTCCCTTTGTTATCTCAGCATAATTAAACTCAGCTTCTCAGAAGTGAGGGTGTATTTTTCCTTCCTAGCACTTAAAGCAAGGCTTATTTTATTCCTTTGGCTTGTCTCCTGGATGGAGCCTTGTCTTCTACATGTGTGTCATATGTTAGGCACTGATTAAATATGTTTTGAATTAGCAAGTAAATACATTCTTAGTTTAAACTCTAGTAGCTTCCTGTCACCTTTAGTGTACGGTATAAAACCTTTAATTTTCCCCATAAGATGTACCTTCACATGAACTGATCTCTGTTGGCTGCCATTATTCATGCCTTACACAAAAGACTCTTCAATGCCTCCCCACAGCTACCTTCCAAAGCAATCAGCTCCTAGGCTTTACATTTCACTTTTATTTAAAGGCCTTTATTTATTAAATACACTTCCTTGGGCCTGGAGAGATGGCTCAGTGGTTAGGAGCATTGACTGCGCTTGCAGAGGACCTGGGTTCAATCCCTAGCACCCACGTGGCAGCCAACATCCTTCCTTAACTCCCAGTTCCAGGGGAATCCGACATCTCTTCTGACCTTCAAGAGCACTGTACAACACGGGTACATTTCGTGCATTTACATACATGTAGGCAATATACTCATACACATAAAATAAAAATAATAAATACTTTAAATATGCTTCCTCAAAACCAGTTAGGTCCCTTACTATAGGATCCCATATTCTGTTCTAGTCTTTGTGACAGGATCTCAATATGCATCCCAAGCTTGCCTCCAGCTTGCAGTTCTCTTGCTTCAGCCTCCCAGGTACTAGAATTGGAGACATACGTGGTGCCACCATTGCCACCCTGTGTTTTATCATAAAGTTATTTTCTCAGCCAGGCGTGGTGGCACACACCTGTAGTCCCAGCACTTGGGAGGCAGAGGCAGGTGGATCTCTGTGAGTTCAAGGCCAGCCTGGTCTACATAGTGAGTTCCAGGATGGCTGGCGCTACAGAGAGACCCTGTCTCAAAAAAACCAAAAAAAAAAAAAAAGTTATTTTCTTTTTCTTTACTATGAGTATTGTGTGTGTATGATGTGTAGGTGTGGTGTTCATGCATGTGGAAATTAAGTAACAGCTTTGTGGAGTCAGTTTTCTGCTTCTACCTTTACATCAGTTTCAGGATTGAACCCTTGGGAGGTCAGACTTGAAAGGCATTTCACCAGCCCCCAGCCTATATTTTAAACAACTGTATTTTGTGTAATGAGGTCTTTTCAGAAGTAGTTTTTAAAACTCAGACTTTAAAATATACAGGTTCATCCCGGGC